TGAAAAAACTTTTCAGTGAAATTGCATTTTCAAAGAACTCAAATATTTCCCTCATGTGGACATTAATATTACAATAAATTAGAATGTTACACCAAATGTTTGCAAATGGTAATTGCTATTGTTAAAGATAAAACCTTTTAATAGAACAGGTCCGCACAATTTCTCTATGGGAATCAATTTTTTCTAATATTAAACCCTTCTCATTAATCCAATAAATATGAATTCCAAATCTAGAGATTCTGGATGACATGGGTTGATTGTGTATAGCGATTAGACAAACTGTTCCAAATTACGTAAGTGGATGCAAGTTTCTTAGTACTCCATATTTGACTGAAAAAATCTTGTTTGATTGTTTTAATGTTTTTAACCAGTAATCAGCATGTTAAGTTTAGTTTGTGTTCACTTTCACACAAATACAGTCAAGAAAGGCATAAATCCATCTCTTCTTTCCCCAGGATTAAATGGTAGGATAATCTAGGCTCATTAGTCTTGGGTTGAAAGCAGTTTAAGAAAAGGAACAATACTGAATCCCAAACTGTAGAGAAGGTATTAAGAACGTATTCTATTATCTTTCCCAAGAAGACATTGCAATTCAAAGATATTAAAGAAAAGGAATCTTTTTTGGAAATTTTATTTTCTTTCAGAAAATAAAACCTTCTGCAACAGTATTTTGACTATTGCCCGAATTTATAACGAAAAAAAAAGAAAAAATACAAATCAAATTCAATTACAAAGAAAAAATATTTATTTCTAAATAAGGGTTCTTGCAAAAATTTGTCCCTTTTTGCTGAGAATAAGATAACCTATTCTCTGAGTAACACAATGTAAAAAAAAAACATAGCAGAAAACAAACTTAAAAATTACAATGCACCAAAAACCAAAAAAAAATTGTTCCCACCTGCTATGTCAATGAAAACAATAAAAAAGGGGGGGGGAGAGCCTTAGCTCTTTAGTACACTTTCAGTTCTTTCAAGGTTCAAAAGTTTTTTTTTTTGCTTTTCTCTCTTGTGTAGACAAGGTTCTCTTCTTGGTGACCAAACTCCCTCCTTTCTTCACTTATTTTCCTCCCATCTGCTGGGAAATGATGCCTTTCTTTTAACAATAAAAAAGAAGGTTAAGATTTACTTAAACACATGCTAAAACGCTTTTTGAAAATACACGTGTTTGCTCCTCTCAAGAAGCTCCAAACTCCACTTATGGACTTCTTTTCAACTTTCTTTTCTGGGGATTCTTCAAGAGGGCTTCTCAAAACTTTCTCTGAAGGGGAAACTTGCCCTCAGCAAATATGTTACCCATGCATCCTTCACTTATGGGCAAATGCTGCCTGCCTTTTCAGCAGGAAGAGAGAAAAACAAACCTCTTCTCTAAGCGGTCTCGTTTCCAGCTGCCGCTAAGGTCAAGTCCCAGTTCTCCCTTCCCTTTCAAAGTGTGTGTGTGTGGTGGGGGCGGTTCACCTTTGAACCATCCAATCACAGTCCATAAAAAAAAATCAGCAGGTTCTTAGGGCCAGTAACACAGTGAGTGTCTTTTGTTCTCCCTTGACCTAAAAATTTTCAAATATTAGAAGTCATGATCACCGACACCCTGAAATGAAGTTGCATTTAAAAAATACATCTTTACTATAATTCACCAAATGCTTTATTTATCCATATGTCTTACATTATATAAGTCAAGGATAGCAAGAGTTATGATGACTAAACTGCTGGGTAGATTTTGCTCTCATAGCTTTAGTGGATGGAAAAACAGGGACTGGGAAAAATGTTTAGATATTTGCAACATTCATAGAAAAAGTGTGCTCTGATATATAAGACATAGATCACAACACTACATAGCAATTGTTAGTTACATGCCCCATGCAATCTTCAGACTGTGGCAGTCACTATATAGGGATGATTAATGATTTCTGTTAAAAGAAATGCTTTTTTCTTAAATCAACATAAATATGCACATTTTAAAAACTATAAGAAGATGGTTAACTCATGATATTTAAGAAATAGATAAATAATTTAAATAAGTAAATAAACAAAATAAAATTAAAAAGATTACAAATATTTACATTAAAAAATCAGTAACAACAAAACATGAACTTTTATATAATTGGCTGATAACTTATATTAATGAGCATCCTCCATAGTTTATCTTTCCTTACTGTTGTAGCATACCTATGAATGATAATGTGTATGTCCCCATTCACATAAATACAGTAGTGAATACTGTATGTTGGTCTGCAGTTGGAGATTCATCTCCAGCTGTGCTGGCCAACCTCTGCTTCTGGGCAGAAAGGATCCCTAGGCGAGGCTATGTTGAAGGGCAGAGTCTTGTCTTGGAAAACAGCTACCTGACTGTGTTTTATACGGGGTCTATGGGTAATTTTTGGCTGAGCCTACGGGCTCAGATACTTCACATTAAATTCAGCCTTGTGCCACATCTGACCACGTGGGGTGGTTTATAGATATCCTGCTGTTGGACATTCATTGTGGAATTCACGTGACTCACTTCTAGACATTGACTACTTCTTCTACGCATCACTGGCAAATCTTATATGTGTTGTTCTTGTCCTAAGTATTATCGTTCATTACCAACCTTCATGTGATTATTCTATTCAGTAACCTACCCTAGGTTACAACACTTACCTACTAAATTTTTTACTATTTTAGAGTGTTCTCCAATTCAAAATTTGTAAACTTTACATTATTTCATTTTTTACAATGTTACTTCTGTGTATAAATACAGGTTACTAAGTAAAATCCTCAAAGAACAAAACACATTGACATAACATATTTTCCTCTTTTCCTTTCTTTCATTAAAATTGTATTTACAGATATATTTATATTTGAATTCATATATAATAAAATATAATTTTAAGCTATGCTATATTTATGGATAAAAGTGCTCAATAGAATAGAGTGTATGTAAGCAAATATATGGATATAGATCCAACAGTAGTTGTGCTCTTATGTCCATCGTCTTTTCATGTTGAATTTTATATGTTCTAATGTTAATTATGTTTAATGAAAATGTCCTGATGATGGTCTAAAATAGACCGAAACGTCCGACGTTGACTTTATATTAACATTAATACAGCATAATTGCATATTAAGATTTTTGTTTGTTTTTCTGTATATTTTTCTTCAATAGAGTATATGTAAATATAAATTAGCATGAAATAAATTCATATATATTGCATTTAACATGAAACAGATATATATATATGTGTGTGTGTGTGTGTGTGTGTGTGTGTGGTGGCAAAAGTATGCCTGTTTGTATTTAATAAATTTTATAGAGTAAAAATAAATTACATTAGTTTAAGAAAATATATAAGTATTGTAACATCAAAATAACATGATTTGTTCTGATTAACAAACTATTTAACATGTACAAAATGGCCCCCTTCATGATCAATACAGCACTGAACCCTATCAGCAACACTTCTACTAACCATCTCACACATTTCTACATTAATTCCAGACAAAATTATCAGAATTACTTATTTTAATTCAGGAATTGTTTTCAGTTTGATCCTGTAAACAAGATTTTTCAGTACACCTGACAAGAAAAAAACTGGTAGTGTTAAGTCTGATAATTGCAATGGCCACTCAATTCCTTCAGGTCATCCTATCCATCTCAGCTCAAAATTAAGTTTTAACCATTTTCAAATGTATCAGCCATATTTAATTTTAAGCCATTTTAAACTACAGTAATTTATTTTTGTTCAGTAAAAGTTAATGAATAAAGAAGGAATTACTTTTACCACATCCAGTATATAGTTTAAAATTTCCAATATTTATGGGGAAATATGTGCTCAATATTGTGAACCAGACAGTCATCATGCAATGATGATTCCTATGCCCACACTGTCTCTATAAATACAATAAAAGGTTCATTTATCTTGTCCTTACTCAAAATATCACAGAGATTATATCCACTTGTAAGGAGATTTAATTGTAAAAAATATAATTACAAAGACTGCTTATTTTAAAAATGTTATTTTTCAGAAATACCCTGCTGCCTATTTTTTTTGAAAAACAACTTTTGTTGTATATGAATGTGTAGTTATCTTGTACTTTTAATACATTATCTGTACTGTATATAAGCCAATAGGTTTGTAACTGAGAAATTAGAACATTCACTTTCCAACAATGAGACCTGGTTTCAAATCTAACCATGACTGATTTGTCAGGTAGGTGACTTCCTGGTGTTATCAGACTAGGCAGATGATCCCAGCATTCAGCGCATTTGGAAATTACCTGAAAGACAAAGTCAGAGGTTGATTCAAGCATTATGAGTAAAATTGGGTACACAGAACTGTTTGGAAGCCGTTTATGGTCATGCTAACACAAAGTCCCAAGTCATTGTAACCAAGCGTTTGAGTGTACTGGTCAGATTATACATTCTCCCCAAAAAACAGTAACTAAGCTCTGCTCAGCATAGTTGCAGTATAAACCACAGTTTGGTTCTGTGGGTGCTAAAAAAACACAAATATGCCTGAGCAGGTATCTGCAACAGCAACTGGCTAACTTCCCTACCAGATGAGTGTGCTTGAAAATGATAAGCTGTCCATTACATAAGCCCAGATTGAATGGTTAACCAGCTTTTCTGGCTTGATCAATTACAACTGAATAGTGAGTTTGATCCTCACTGGGTGCTCCATACTTCTGGCTACATCTAAGCTATGCATTATATGTCCATAGAACATAATCTGAAATCACCAACACTTTTTTGTCCTTAATGACCAGGACCCAATTTTCAGCTGAAAATAATGTGTAAAACAACTTTTCTACTCTCCCAAGAATATATAACTAATTTTTAAATTACAAATTAAAGGTATAAAATAGAAAAGAAGAAAGCTTATGAAAAGAAGAGAGCTTATTTACTGATAACTGAGATGAAAGACAATTTATATGTTTTCATATTTCTTTTACTTGTCATTAAAATTTGAAGGAAAATATAATGAAATCTTTTTTTTAATCCAAAGATGGAAGCAGGCTAAGGCCACATCCCACTAAAATACCGGTTCCCATATGATCATCAAAGTTAAGCAACATTATGCCTAGTCAGTATGTAGATGGGTGACCACTTGGGAATAACAGGATATGGAGGTAGTGTAATGGATGATGGCTCAGAATTATTAATCAGAGAGCCGAGTTCAAGTTCCTGTTTGTTTCATCATATTTAGTTATGCACAAATATCCTTGGGAAAAGTATGACTCCACCTCTTCCCCTCTCATCTATGGATTAATTAGTAAGAATTGTATCACTAAACCATTATTATCTCAAAAAAATTCTTAGAATCTAAAAATATTTTCTGGCTTTAAATAACCTGCAAAGGGTCAGTAATCCATAAAAAATGAATGAATCAATCAATAAAAAAAAGATAGGAGCATCTTTTTTGTGGAATCACATCTCACTGTAGATATCCTCACTCTAATGCCCTGCCATTATTATTGGATTCACAAATGTATGTACAGGATCTGTTATATCACCTCAAATAATATCCCTAAATCCTTTTTATATAGTATATACTATATATCCAGTGATATTTAAGGGCTTTTATTTCCAATATTAAATATTTTTAATCTTCATCCAATGATATTTAAGGCCCATTTATCTTGTATCTTCTCATCCAACAATACTAAATCCTTTTTGTCTGGTATGTTCTCATGTATTGATCCAATAATTTTGTATGTTTTCATCTGGTACATCTTCATTCAATCATATTAAATACTGTTTATCTAGTATGAAAACATCCAATGAAATGTAATGCCCTTTTATTTGCTATATGAAAAGAAGAGAGTTTATTTACTGATAACTGAGATGAAAGGCAATTTATAGGTTTTCATATTTCTTTTACTTGTCATTAAAATTTAAAGGAGAATATAATGAAATCTTTTTTTTTAATCCAAAGATGGAAGCAGGCTAAGGCCACATCCCACTAAAATACCGGTTCCCATATGATCATCAAAGTTAAGCAACATTGTGCCTAATCAGTATGTAGATTGGTGACTACTTGGGAATAACAGGTGCAATGATATTAAATATCCTTTTATTTACGATGTGATCATCCAATGATATGTAATACCCTTTTATTTGGTATGTTATCATCCAATGATATATAATGATCTTTTATTTGGTATGTGATCATCCAATAATATGTAATGCCCTTTTATTTGCTATGTCATTATTCAATGATATTAAATATCCTTTTTATTTACGATGTCAATGTCTAATGATAGTTAATGCCCTTTCTACCTTGCATATGCTCATCCAATTTTATTTTATCTGGTATGTCCTCATCGATTGTTATTAAAACCTTTTTATCAATGATATTCAAGGCCTTATTATTGACTGTCCCATCATCTAATAATTAATGCTAATAAAATGGCAGATTCATCCCACAGCATTGCACATGTAATCAACAGAATTTTACCAAAACAATTTTTATTTTAAGAAATAAAGTTTTAAGAGATCAAATGTCACCAATTTATCATTCATATCTTGCAGTTTAATAACAGCAGTTTGCTTTCAAAAGGAAAAAAAACTAGATTGTAATTTTGAATAACAGATTGAGCAAAGAGAAACCTTTGACCCAAAAATCAGAATGAAAGAGAAATTACAGTTGATAGGTCAATAAGTTATCATGGAAAATAATGCTGAATAAAGGCAAATTTGGTCTGGCTTCTAGTTTGAATTCAACAGCCAATAATTAGTTTTGAGTTGTTTTGTCTTTTGTACACTTCACATTAAAAGCAAAATTGCGAAAACAAATGCTAATATTTTATTAATTCTTTTTCTGTACTTTGTATCTCAAGCAGTTTTTAACTTTCTCATCTTAGGAAAACAAAATACAAATGATACATTCCATCAAGCAAATATCTCTTTTGTAACTTTCAGTGATTTTCATCAACTCTTCTATATAGAGGCAAAAAGAAACATCACTTTTCAGATAATACTATTCATGAAAAACATCACATTTCTATACTTTTGAATAAATTTTTTTTTTAAGAATTTCACCCCAAACAAGGCAGGAAGCCATTAGCAGGCAAGAGGTTACAGAGAGTTGGAGTGAGAGCAAAGAGGAATGATAGAGGAAAGGATGAAGAGAACGAAAGAGGATAGATCAAGGCATCTGGAGACATTGATTGACATTACATTTGAATAGTTGGAGATTATAGCTATCAGGGAAACAGCAAAAGGGGAGGAAGTTCCACAGGTGAGAAGTGCATGACAAGAAGCTATTGGAGTAGAAGAGACAGCTACATTTAATAGTTTCAACAGTGAAAGGGTGAGAGCAAGATGCCAGCCTAGTTGAACACTTAAATTCATGAAGTCTGAGAACCAGCGAATGGAGCTGTTACCGTGAAAGTATTTGTAAAAGACACATAGGGAGGTAACAGCACATCTGTGAGAGAGTGACTGCAGACGAGATGCCAGATCAGGGCCAATTACATTGCATATTTGTCTCTGGATTTTATCAAGGACCTTGAGGCAAACAGAAGGGGCTCCATTTGTAGATTTGAAAGATTGACTCCGGCAAGAAAAATTTCCTGGCGCGGCACAGGTAGCCAACTTTCCTTGTGGTGGACAAAGCTATTGACTCAGTGTATTTGTTCCATCTCAGGTCAGCAGTCAATGTGAGACTGAGCAGTCGCAAAGAGGTGCTCTTGTGGAGTTGAGCATAAGACATTCTAATGGGAGGCAGGGATGGTTCACTCTGGTGATTAATAGAGAGCAGTTTTGTTTTTGAGGCATTAAAGTTAACCAGCCAATACCTGCCCCAGTCCACAACCGATTGGAGGCTTTTTTCAAGACAAAGGGCCAGGTTAGTTTTGTCGTCGACACTAGATTTATTTTTGAGGCAGGAGTAAATATTGAATATTGCGGCCACATCTGATCTTGTGCCCCTGCTATATATTTATTGATAAACTCCAAACAAGATTCACTTTCCCACCACTGTAATATAGTTTTGCCTTACCATTTCTATAAAGATTTTGATGGTAATTGTTCTGATGAACTTTTCTATAAGGCATGTAGACTTTATGAATTTAAGCACAGTACAAAATTGGCAGCAAGATCTCATCATGTTACAGTTGAAATGTGAAGATGTAATCCTAAGTTCTATGCTAACAGTTTCTTCTATTGCACTTCTCATTTGTAGAACTTTTTTCTGGCTTCTTGCTTTCCAGTCAACTTTGATCCTCAAAAATTCCAATTGTTATCTTTTGTCTTCTTAATTCTTGTTCTTTTACTCTTCTCTCTACTTAATAGTGTTTTTTTTTTCTATTTCATATTATCGGACACTCAGTAACTGTTATAACCTAGGGAAAGGTTACTGAATAAAATAAATGTTGGTAATGAACAATAATACTTAGGACAAGAACAGCACATATAAGATTCACCAGCGGCATGTAGAAGTAGTAGTCAGCTGCTAGAAGTGAGTCAAGTGAATTCCACAATGAATGTCCAAATGCAGATCAAGATACAGTATTTACTACTGTATTTATGTGAATGGGGACATACCCATTATCATCTGTAGGTATGCTACAATAGTAACCCTTTGTATCTTAGTGGCTTTATTGCCTTGCTTGTGGTAAAAGGAATAAAAAAGAAATATTTCATCAATTACAGTGAATATCTGTCTGTGTGTATGTGTGTGTGAGAGTTTACAATGGCCCACAAGCCCCTTGGTTCAATATGTGGACCATACATTCACTATCTGCAGCGTGTGAGAGGCTCTGCCTAAGACAGGTTGTTATGTAATAAATAAGTAAATATAAACATCAAAGACCAATTATATTAAATTCTATCAAACACTCCTTCTGCTTACAGAAGGATATCTAGAAGGACAATCAGAGTGAGTTTTATAACCAAGATATGTGCCTAGTACTGATGAAGAGCAAACTTGCATATATGTGGTTTACAGAAGGATGCTGAGAATACCACGAATGGGGCATGCAAGCAACAAGGAAGTTTTAAGGAAAATTAGAAAGATAGTGTTGAAATTTCTGGGATACATACTGAGGATAGAGAATTGGAAGAATTTGATACTCATAAAACATACTGAATGCCAGACAGGGGGACAGAAACTGCGATTAACCTAAACTAATGAGCTTTTGTACATGGATGTCTTAGCAGGAAATGGGAAGGATTGTAAAAAAAAAAAATTACTAAAACCTACAAAGGATAGGAAATGTGGAGAGCTATGATCACCCACTTCTTAAAGGGCTAAGGTACATGAAAGAAAAATTATATTAAATGGGTCTGTTTGAAAACAGCATGGTTGTAGTGCTGTGGTTGTAGTACTAATGAAAATAAAAAGGTAAAAATGACAGATACTTTTCTTTGGAAAAAAGCTTCCACCCAGATATCTCCTTCTTTATGTTGTATATCCTATCAAGACGTAGGCAATCATGGCTCTCCACAATAAAGTAGCTCTGAATAAATTCTGTCTTTTTGTTATTTCTTTCTAAACCTTGTTCCAACATCCATTAAGTCAAGGTCACTAAGTATTTTATGTATTGTTTTCTTCTGTCCCTCTTGCTTTCAATCTGTCTTGTGAGTATCAGATTCTCCAAGCCCTCCTTCCCCAATATATCTGCCACAGTAACCTCAACTGTCTCTTCTTGATGTTAAGTATTAGTTTCTTTTTTGTTTTCATTTTCTCTAAAACTTTTTTGTTGCTCACATATTCTGTTCATCATATCCTCAGCATCCCTCTATATAACCACATTTCTGTTGCTTCAAGTCTCTTCTTCATCTTTGAGGAATTGTCCAGCATTTACTGTCATACTTAGTACTCTTTTCTTTGTTTCTAACAAAGTTTTTTCTGTTTAATGTTTGTATATTAAATATCTTGTTGATTGTTGCCTGAAACTCCAAGTGGTCTGACAGATTTTATGACAATGGCAAGTAAATTAGTAACTCCTTGGCAATCAGCCAATTAAAAGTCGATTGTTTGGATAAAATGGCACAGACATAACTTTACAGTTTGTAATTTGCTAATCGGAAAAGTAATTCATCTTTGTCATTTCATTATTTAAAGAAATGAAGATAAACTGGTATTGAATCTGATTGTGGAAAAATAGTGAGAAAAGTCTACAGAAAAACTTGAAATGAAGTATTTGTGTTACATCGATCAAGCATGGGAGCTCCTAGACAAAGTAATAAGGGAAAGGAAGAAGAAAGGACTAACCATCAGTTTTAAGAATATATGGCTGTCAGCTAGAGAAAGTTGCAGATACAAACTACAAATTGGAGATTACACATTACACAGAAATTTAAATATCTAGGAAGTGTTTAATGGAAGATGGAAAATGCATCATCAAAATCCAAAAGATAATTGGAGTAGTAACAAATGCATTCCAAAAGCTAAGTAAGGTATTAAGAAATGGGAAAATAGTGCTGAACTGCTGTGTGATATCAGTTCTCCTCTATAGCAGTGACTGCTGGATAATTTTTTTCACAGATGAAGAGAAAACTGCAGGCAATAGAAATCTGGATCTACAGAAGGATGCTGAGACTACCATGATATGTAAAGTAATTGTGTAATGAAAGATGCCTTCCAAATGCTAAGCAAAGTAATAAGAAACAGAAAAATTCCATTAATATCAGTCCTCCTTTAAGGCAATGAATATTGGATAACCTATTCCTAGATGAAAAAGAGACGTGAGGCAACAGAGAATATCACCACCGACTGAGTAATGACAAAGTTTTAGAGAAAATGAAAACAAAAAGATACTAAGAATCAGATAGAGAAAGTCAAAATTTCTAAGGCATAAAATGATGAAAGAGGGCTTAGAAAATTTGACTATCACAGAGCATATTAAGCAAGAGGGACAGAGGAAAGCATAGGTCAACCACTGCCATTATTATAAAGTCATTGTGAGCTTCATAATAAGCTGCACAGCATGTGTAATGTGAGGGCTACATATTATTTTGAATTCAGAGTTGTGATTCACATAGACTGGTTGCCAACCACAGCTAGATAGCCCAATCTATAGCCGAGAGCAGAAGAGATGGATTCAGAG